GAGTGAACGCTGACTCAGCAGATTTAGTTTTATTGTAACTATAATTTATTTTTTAACCCAATCAGAACCCTGACTGGACCCTGAACAGATAAGAGGCTGTTTTACCTGCAGAACAAAAAGAACCGGTCTTTGGAGGATTAAAAAAAACAAAAACTCACCAGAAGTCTGTGTCCGTTAATCTTCAGTCGGGACACAGTCGCAGCACAGTCCTGCATTTTATTCTGCAGGATGACAGACAGAAYACACCCTGAGCTGCCTCCACTCCTCGTATCGGCACAGAAATGTTTGAAATCTTTTCTTCCACTCACCAGAGACATGAAGAGGGCCACTTGTGACTGGTCCCACCCCTCACACTCCTGTCTGGTTGGCAGGTTCATTTGTGTCTGAGGGGCAGCGGTGAGCAGCAGCAGCAGCAGCAGGAAGTTCTGGCCCGACCCGGCACACAGCCACCTACAAGTAGGTCCACACAGAGAGGTGGCCTCGTCACATCCACTCACGATGTCCCGTGTCACTCTTCACTAAATGTGGAAGGTCACAGCGTGATGAGAAAGGTTGTATTTTTGAAGCGTTTCCCCTCAGATTGTTTTAAGGCTTCAACCAAAAGGGAAGCAGGAACTTCCTGAAACTTTGGTTATTTTTAACACTTGAAGAAACCCGATGTGTCCAAATACTGGAAGTGTTCCTGCTGCAGCCCAGCTGCTCCGAACACAACCACTGTGGTCCAACTAACCAGTTAACCCTTTAACTAATGATGGTCCAACTAACCAGTTAACCTTCAACCACTGTGGTCCAACTTACCAGTTAACCCTTTAACTAATGATGGTTCAACTAACCAGTTAACCTTTAACCACTGTGGTCCAACTAACCAGTTAACCTTCAACCACTGTGGTCCAACCAACCAGTTAACCCTTTAACTAATGACGGTTCAACTAACCAGTTAACCTTTAACCACTGTGGTCCAACTAACCAGTTAACCCAATAACTACTGATGGTTTCAATCAACCAGTTAACCCTTTACCACTGTGGTCCAACTAACCAGTTAACCCTTTAACCACTGTGGTCCAACTAACCAGTTAGCCTTTAACTGCTGACGTTCCAACCAACCAGTTAACCCTTTAACTACTGGTGGTTTTAACCAACCAGTTAACCCTTTAACTACTGATATTCCAACCAACCAGTTAACCCTTTAACTACTGTGTTCCAACCAGTTAACCCAATAACTAATGATGGTTTTAACCAACCAGTTAACCCTTTAACTAACAGATAGTTTAAATGACGTCATTGTTTCAGCTGTCCTGCAGGAAGTGCCTTCAAGCTGCAGCTAACTGTGGCTGTTTGTGTTTACAAATAACTACAGAAATCCATCCATCCATCCATCCATCCATCCATCCATCCATCCATCCATCCATCCATCCATCATCATCATCCATCCATCCATCCATCCATCCATCCATC